CACTCTTAGCCAATCTCCTGCTTTGCACTTGTGGAATGTGAGCAGTGGATTAGGCCCCGTCCCGCTTCCTGATGTAGCATTTCTAAAGCAGGGAATCCAAGCTTGCAATGTTTGGTTGATGTCTTTTAGCCGACTTGTCCCGGGGGATTAGCATTTGGGCACATTTTATCCATTCCCTCTCTCCTTAAACGCCCGTCGCCCCCCCTTCAGCATCCGTGGATCAACAGGAGCCACCAGAAGGGTTTTTATGTCACTCCGGTCTGTCCCCAGTTCCCATGAACCCGAACACAGGCTCCCCGCGTTAGCAAAACATCGTTATTTCATTATTATTTCAGTTCAAACCGCCAACCGGGGGTGTGAGGTTCAAACACTCGAATTCGTCAAAAGTGGGAAACCCAAAACGAACGACACAGACTCTTCCATTCTTTTTTTTATTTTATTTTTTTTTATTTATGTCTTTAATCAGGACAGTGCACATTAATGAACAATCTCACACAGATTGTAAATGAGCCAGATTATAGCATAGTTGCTAGTTTACATCTGTCGTCCTGAGGCAGGAAGACCAAACAACACAAAATCACAAAATACAAAATCAGTCCAAACACACGTTCAGACAATGACATTACAAAATTAAAATGAACTCAATTCAATTCAATTTCACAGCAACAGTTGTCTCACAGCTTTCCAAACAGAGCAGGTCAGACCCTACTCTGAAGTTAACTACAGAAACCCAACAATTAACAATTAACAATTAACTTTTGCCTTCCCCTTTTGGCTTTTTATTAGACTGAAAACAAGTCGTAATACCAAAGGCATATCTCATCTTTGGACATTTTTGTGTCATATCTCGCTTCCTCAGTGGAGCCACAGCTACGCTTTGTTCTACTTTTTTTATGTACAACTTTAAACTTATGACCTCCCGTAAAGTTAGAAAAGAGTAAATGGAAAAATCATTCACATTGCTTGTTAACCCTGTAATGCCAAATGTATCATATTTGATTCATACTGTTTCTGAAATGTTTTGCGTCTGACTCCTTTTGCATAATTTAATGGTAAAATCTTTGCTCAAAATCCTATTGTACACGATCAGATACACCTGATAACAGGGGACAGAAGACTACACAAAAATAATCTGTACTTATCGCATAGTAATAGATTATTAATATCAAAAATGTATTTCTGTTCTTCCTTTTTACATATTTTGTTAAAAGGCCAAATAAGGAATTCAAACAAAAAAAATGAATTTTCTGTTTTGTTTTATTCTTGGATCAGGCTTTAAAGGGTTAAAGGTATGCAGACAAAAAATATTTACAGCATTTAAAGGTAAAGGCATTTTTACATACAGTTTTATATGACTTTATCACAGAGGTTTTCTTGAATCTGTCTCAGAGGAAGAATAATTCAGAATTCATAGAATAGATAATAAAATAATCAAGTGTATTTGGGAAATAAGATAAATTCGAAAATCGATGGGACGATAATGGTCACCACTTCACTAATGGTTCAACTTGTTTCCCGAATGTATTTCTAAATGGTTTAATAGTGAAATCCTTTTATAGCTGATGGATAAGACATGCTCTTTATTTGTGTTTAGGCTCGAATGTTGTTGTTTTTTTGCTTTAGCTGCAAAACGACCAATCACAGGCTGAGAAGCCAAAGACTGAAGTGAGGTTAGAAATGGAAATGTAGGAGTTTTAAAGATTGCTGGAAAGAATTGACCTTATCAGGCCTCAGTTATTCTATTTTCATCTCAGCCTCAAATCAGTTAAAGTTCAGACATTAAGTTGATTTAAAAGTTAATATAATTTAGGTTTGAGTTCATTTACTAAAAGTGCATTTACAGTGTTGTAAATGACGTTATTTAACTATTTACATATTTATATTGCACATTTATTATTTATATATTTCCATGTTTTAATATTTACTTTTGGATCTTTAAGAGTTTAAATCAGAAATAATCTGTTAAATCTGCTTTCCGTTTGCCTTAGTCTGGATTCTGGCATCTCATTGGTTAGTTCAGTCATGTGACTATACAGTAAACAGGAAGTGAACCCTCAGGTTCCACCAGTGGGATGTTTCTGAATCCGTGTGGTTTTAAGGGAAGAAATAGGAAGGACGAGTCAAACCTAAATGGGATAATAATTATAATATTAATAATAACAATAATGATAATAATAATAATTTATTATTATTATTATTATTATTATTATTATTATTATTATTATTATTATTATTA